GTGGTATGTTACTAGCACAGTTCTGCTTGTTCATGTGCCATGTGTATAACACGAAGGTGGCTGAGTCTAAGACCTCTCATTTGCCGAGTACAAAATATCCAGCATGTATGCTGATACTGAAACGAGTATCCTAGTAGTCAGTGGTTTCCAAGATCAGTCAGAAATAGGGCAGGAGTGAGCTACAATAGCTGTTATCCTCAGGAAGGAGAGCTGAATGGGTGGTTCTTGCTGTAACAGAAAACAAGCGGAAAGTAATCTGGTGTTGCAGGTGCAGGTACAGGCAGTGGGGATGTTGCCACACAATGCTAGAGACCATACGTGAGGTTCCAGGTTTGTCTTCAGGATCTATCTGAACATGCCAGGTGGGTTCGTGGATGTGCTTGTAATCATGGCTGGCTGTGGGAATCTGGGGACTATTGTAGCCTGAGGACCTTATTGAGGGCCTTCCCCTGATCTCTTCTCTCAAAGGAAATATATAAAACTTTATTTTTTATTTTATTATTTTTTAAAGGAGCTGACCAGTAGCATAGTGGTTGGGAGAGTAGGATCCCATATAATAGACTGAATCCTGACGCTAGCCGCTTGACAGATGTGCAAGCTGCATGTACATGCATGCTCCAGAACCTTTTTTTTTTTTTTTGAGAGGTTTTTGCTATAGGGCGTGTGCGCTCGCCAGACAGAGAGAGACAGAGAGACAGAAAGCGAGAAATCACCCCCCAGGGGGGATGGCCACGCTGCAATCCGTTCTCCTCCATTCTCCTCTCGGGATCTTGGGCACCGTGCTCCAGAATCTTGACAGGATGGAGAAATGTAGGAGAAGGGATCAAGGCATGACCGTATCCATTTAGCCCTTCTTTCTCCCTCTCTCTTTCTGTCTCTCCATTTCTTAGTGGTGAGTGCAGGCATCTCCTGGCAATTCAAACACAAACAGGAGGAGCGCAAAGCTCTAATTGTATATGTACTGAGTCAGAATCGGATGTTATTTGATTCTTCTACATTGAAATTTACCTTTGATGGAGTTATGAATAAAAGCATTTCCTAAGCAGATTGGTAGTACACTTGAATTTGGATGTCTCATATTCTCTAAAATTCATGAGCTACATACATTTACTTCTCCGTTTTTACTTACATCGGTAAATTTCCAAATTTCTAGGTAGAGACAGTATTCAATGACTGTAAAAGTAATAAAACATACTTGCTAATGCTTACTTTGGTTTTGACTGGGCTTGTATCCTATCCACTTAGGTCTGTTCAATTGGGATTAAATATCCTGTCTGTCACCTTTCTGTCATCTGTCTGGTTTGTCACACTTCATAGCAACTTCAGAACCTCGAAGAGGCCGTCTATGTTATCTGTATAAAAATAGATTTATCTTTAGAATATAAATTGATGATTATTTCCAATACTTCTTTTTTTATTTAAACAATTTTAGTGATGTTAATGGTAAGCAATGAAGTGCAGTTCCAAAGAAAAGCCCTATATTTTACTTGTTTAAACTCTTTTCCATGGTCTTTACTTGTAATATGTTGAAGGTGGGACCCATTCCTGAATCTTCTTCCTAGTGGTGGAATAAGGTACATATTGTTCTGGAGAGCCACTCAAATTGAATTTATGGTTCGCCCAGATGAACTTACGAGCTGTAGGTGGTTTTGTGGTTAGAGAATCTTCAGTCACAGAGTGAAGCCAATGATGCCATTCAGGAGGCACCATACTTCCATCCACATTCCAGAATGCGTTTTTGCCATTCATTTCAGTAGCATATGTAACCCATTGGTGACAGCTAAAAAATCGCTTGTTATCTTCATAGTATTTGTTTCCATATTTATCTTCTCTATAATATAATATTTATATTATAATAAATATAATATATTATAATATATTATTATTATAATATAATAATACCCAGCTTCACATCATTTGTCCTAAAAATAAAATTAATAGATAGCCACAGAAGCCGCTGTGGCTGCTGACCTGCTGAAGCCTCCGCTTCAGGACTCGCTGTAACTGCTAATACTTCTTGATAAGTAAGATTCGATGCAGTGTTATATATTACTTTAGTGGTCATTTTAAGAGAATCCTCATTTATGCAAGCAGTGTTATATTGGCTTGTCAGGAAAGTCATGACACATTTTCGCATAGAGAAGTATGTCATGGCTTTACTGATGACCTAGCAGAATGTTTCTTAACCAGAGTATTTAGACTGTCTTAAGGAAACATGTCATATTGTATCACATAGAAAAAAAAATGGTCCTTGGTCTTTAATTCAAGGACTTCTCTCTATATAACCAAACTCAGATCTTTACAGCATTCCTTGAGTTCTACAGACACAATTATCCAGTTTATCCATGGCAATAACTGAAGGACTTGTTATGTCTATCTTTATTAATTTCCTGTTTCAGTGTCCCCAACATCATGCCATTAAATTGTACATCTTTTGATGTAATTTTTCCACATAAGATCTTGACTTTTGGGGTCAATTTTTTTTCTTTTTTTGGAGATATTTTTGCTATAGGGTGCATGCACTTGCCAGACAGACAGAGAGACAGAAAGCAAGAAATCACTCCCCAGGGGGGATGGCCATGCTGCAACCCTTCTCCTCCATTCTCCTCTTGGGATCTTGGGCATGCATGCACATGCGCCCGGCGTGACTTTAAGCCACCAGGTCCGGGACTTGAACTGCTGACAACTACATGGGAGTGCAGCGACATAGCCATTATGCTAACTGCTGGTTCCAATTTTTTTTTCTTTTGAGAGAGAGATTTTTGCCATAGGGTATATGCACTCGGTGGAGAGGCAGAGAGACACAAAATGAGAAATCACCCCCTGGGGGAATGGCCATGCTGCAATCCCTTCTCTTCTATTTCCTCTTGGAATTTTGGACACACACACACATACACACACACACACACACACACACATACATGTTCCCAGTTTGAGTTTCAAGGTTCCAGGTCTGGGATTTGAACCTCCATCGGCCATTTGGGAGCCTAGTAATGTAACCATTATGGGCTGTGGAGTTAGAGCAGACTGATCTTGGACCCTAGCACTGATCTTTTATTAGCTCTGTGACTATTGGCAAGGTTTTTAGCCTTTCAAGCTCTAGTTTTCTCTCTTCAATATGAACAAAATACTCGTTTGTCTTGCAAGAAAGCACAGAATTAAGTGAGATCACTTAAATGCCTGGCCTTAATAACTAATAACTATTTTATTATCCTACATGTGTTCATTTTATTTCCTGATCACTTTCTATTAAAACACATTTTCATTTTATATTAAAACAAAACTCAATTAACTTTTTCCCCCAAATTTTCTCTCATTCAGCACTCATTCAACAAGTTGTGCTTCACTCTATCAAAATTAGCTTAAGTGCCTCCCCCATGAACATACATATCCTTTCTTTATTTTTATTTAAAAAATTTTTTTTTGTTTAATTGTTGAGGGCACATGTGCACCAGTGACAAGGGCACAGGAAGAGGGAGAAAGCAGTCTTCAGTGGCGTAAGGTCATGTTACAATTTCTTCTCCTCCATTTCTCTACCCTGTTGGGATTTGATGGCACATACACATGCACCTGGTGTGTTCTTCAAGCTATCAGGGCTAGGATTCTAACCAGCACAACCACGTGGAGGAATTACACTCCCTTCACCACTAGGCTATGAGACCACCCCTACTTCTGTTTTTGACAAGAACATTTTTTTAAGAACTATTTTATTAACTTTATTTATTTATTTTATTTTATTTTAGTTTAGTTTAGTTTATTTGACCAGAGAGGGGCAGAGTGAAAGACAGAAAGGGAGAGGGAAAGTGAGAAAGCAAGCCACCAGATCCAGAACTTCAACCGCAGTCAGCCATGTGGGATTCCAGTGCCCTTACCATCACACCACCTGCTGGCCTCGACAAGAACACTTTTTTATTTCTTCACTCTCCTTTAAAATTCAAGTGAGTGTCATTCTGAATTATTATCACTTGGACATTTTTTTTGAATTAGTTTAGCCCTGGTGTCCTTAAAAGTCATGCTTTGAACTTTTATCATGCATTCTCAAGTTTTTTCTTCCATCTAGCTTCTTGACTCCTAATAGATGCTTCCATTCCACCATTAACCATAGTACTTCCTCCCTTTGATTTTTCCAAATAATTCTTTCTCCTTTGGTGAACACAGGAATGGGGCTGCACATGTGTTCCTGCCAAAATCACTTCAGTGTCAAGCCAAATCTTGCAGTATGAGAACTGAAGGAAGAGTTCAAGCTCTGGTATCGGTTTCACAAAACAGGAAGTGTCTGTAGGCTCCTTGGTCACCCATGTTGGGGAGATTCTGATTCTCTTAAACAGCAGTCTTTTAGAAGAAAATGTCTTCTGTAGACCAGGCAACAGAAAAGCCTGACTCTGGTAGAAATGGGTAAATTATATTGTAATTCAGGAAGAGCAATTTCTTCTTGAAAATAACTGTCTTGGATTGACAACAAATATCTCTGATTTTCTTTTTCTTTTTCTATGCTATGTGACTCTCCCATAGGAGAAGATAAACATGTCCCAGTAGGTCATCAATTCTATAGAGAGAAGACTGCTACGTAGATGCATAATACCTGTGAGGAGGCTGGGTAGATTTAAAACAAGTTCATCAATTCATGCTGTTTTTGTTTGTTTGTTTTGTTTTTGTTTTTCACAATACTTTGTGTTGCCCAATCTGTATTCAAATTCACATAGCATCTATAGACTACCAACTCTTGAGGCAGATATCATACTATCTTTCATATCTATACAATAATGCTTTGATATAGACATTATTATTGAGGCATGAGTAAAAAAACAGAAGCTTACACAACTTGACCATGCAGTTATTAAATGATCCCTTCTCAAATCTAGACTCTTCTTGTTACCATGCTATTTTGCTTTATTTTAGGTATCCATTTTCAACTGGAGAAAAGCTCCAAGTGAGTTAATTACAGTGGATATAAAAAAGGAATTCAAATTAGTAATATCATTATCTCTCTCTGTTTCTAGTTTGTGCAAAGCAGGTAACTGATGAAGCATCTTGCACTCGAGATTCAAGCCTTCCTAACACAGCAGTGCAAAGCAAGTTAGTGTCTTCCTTTCAGCAACACACCAAAAAGGCTCTTAAACAGGTAAGATGGCTAGCATCTGTTGTTTTATCTTTTAATTTTACCTACATGCAGCAATGAGTGTTCTACTGATCAAATAAAATAAGTAAACTAGCAATCAGAAAGCAATACAGATATCCTGATTTCAACCACTTTCATAATATTTAATAGAATGATTTTTCTATGCAAATAAGTAAGAGAGGCTTGGCTAAGCATTTGGATATAAAATTGAAGTTGGAACATGCTTTTAGAAACATAATTGTATTACATTTTATGTGTGTGATTTATAGTAAACATGATTATATCATAAATGCATTGAATGGTTTCAAAATAATGTCTCTATGGTCTTGTGTGTATCTGATAATTGGTGTGTAAAAGATAAGCATTGTTTTTTTTTTCTCATTGCTGAGATACATTAAGTTACCAATAAGAAAAAATAGTAAGCCTTACTTATTTGTATCTAGAATATCCATCAGTGAGTGTCATTTGGTCCTCAATGGCAGATAACTTAGCAGTGTCATCCTGATATTATGTATGTCCGGTGTGACCTTACCCTGAGATTATGGTGGGAGGTAATGGTTGTGAGGTTGGGGTCTGGATCTGATGTACCTTGATTGGAATTCTCGCTACCCACTCTGACTTAGGCAAACCATATCTTCTCTCTGAATCTCAAACTACTTCTCTAGAGAATGTGGAAAATAATAGTATCTTGCACATGAGATTGAACTGAGGGCTAACTCAGGTGATATGTTGAAGGTATATGGTAGGTTAAGTAATAATAGTCAATAAGTGTTAGCTCTAGTACTAAAATGGCAGACTCTGAAATGTGCAGGAAATAAAAAAGAGATGCTATGGTTTGATGATAATACTAATGGTGTCCATAAATGCAAATTTTGCATACTTAACCCTGAATTCATGGTTATCCTGTGCGTAACTGCTTTCCTCTGGCAGTTTCATTTTGGTCCTTCTATCACAACTACCTCCTTCATGAACCTTACCAGGCCCAGGAATAGAGACAAAATTCAGGGTATATTTATAACATGGAAAAGAGAAACCACATTTTCCAGAAGAAAGTGCTCTAAAACAAGGAATAGGAAGGAAATGTAACATTTTTGTACTAGATTATATTACATTTCTTTTCCGAATTCATTATTGAAATTGTATCATTTCCATTCCGTTATATTTAAGGTAATAGTACTTTATCTTGCATAGGTTAAGTAATCTTTGGGGAGCTTGCCATTTATATCATGGTTTTTTTTTTAATGTTACAGATGCTAAAGAACAAAACTGAAATCAGTGTTGAGATCTCTTTTTAATTGATGAAATAAAGGTTGCAGTTAGTAGGGAGCATGGGCAAAGGCTCACTCAGGCAGCAAATAGGATGCAGGTAATAAAATACTAACCAGATTAGAGCAAAAAATACAAAAGTGAACACTTGTAGCTGTGGCATTTAAGAAACATAAATGGGATCATAAATGCAACTCATACTTCTGAAGTGCAGTGACTTGGAAAATGTGCTCACTGTGAAATCTTTCAGTAGACGAATGGAGAGATAAAGATTTGAGTCTCTATGTTGTTATGTCTCATTATTTTTTACTTTTTTCACTTTGGTTTTATATCATTTGAACATTTTTTTATAATTGCTAAAACACTAAAACATTACACTACATTGACTTAGCGGTTTCTGTTTTGTTTTGTGGTGAAGCATGTGTTCATGAGAAATGCTATTTGCCCACTTAGGCTCTAATAAGCCTTGTTTTAAGAAACCTGTCCCATAAGCTTCTTAATGTCTTCAAAGGGTTATTTATTTCTTAAAACCTCTATTTATAACCAAGTAGCAAATTAGTTACCAGGAGCATATGGTTCAATATATGGCAGATATGCTAATGTTTGATTAATAATCAAATTCATATTGGAAATACATTTAGAAGAAAAGCTGCTCTTGCAAAATTTTGCCCAGAATCACTGTAATTGCTGAATTTCTTAAGACAGCATTTCAAAAATTGACTGAACATGCGGCATTTTAAATTGTAGCGGCCTCAGCAAATCTGCAGATTTCTTTTCTTTTTGGTAGTTGAATAACTATGACTGCATAGAACTCTTAATACATGTATTATATATACATGCATCTATGTTCATATATGTATTTTGCATCTGGGAATGTATGTTTTGTGTGCATGGGTGCATGCACATCATGATTATATGAACCCTTGTCTATTGAATGACCTTAATAACAATTGCATTGGTTAATATTTGTGTTTTCTGAATCCTAGCCACTAACCTCTTCAGTTTACATGAACTATGCCATGAAGCTCTCATATAAATTCTCTGAAGTATGTATGTATGTATGTATGTATGTATGTATGTATGTATGTATGTATGTATGTATGTATGTATGTATGTATGTATGTATGTATGTATGTATGTATGTATGTATGTATGTATGTATGTATGTATGTATGTATGTATGTATGTATGTATGTATGTATGTATGTATGTATGTATGTATGTATGTATGTATGTATGTATGTATGTATGTATGTATGTATGTATGTATGTATGTATGTATGTATGTATGTATGTATGTATATCCCCATTTTTCAGATGAAAAAAATAAGGCCCAAAAAACTCTGATAACTTGCCATAGGTTACCTTCTATGTAAATCTTGGAGGTGACATTTGGATCCAGATTCCACACCATTAACTACTACTGCCGTTGAGCATATGGTATGTAATAGTGTAGACTCATTTTTGATAATAATCTAGGAAATTTACATCCTTGGGTTTTTGTATAGCATAAGGAAAGTGATATAGCATAAGCATTAAGGATACCATTTCTGAAATTAGACTGCTTATGTTCAGTACCAGCTCATACGAACAGCACACACTCAAATGTATTGGCCATTATTATTTTATTGGAAACGTACTCTGATTCAGTAGGGTTTTCAAATCTAACCCAACATTGGCCAGTGTAAATTCTTAGAAGCAGATAAAAACAACGAATCCCTAAAAACTCAATAACTTTCTAATCATAAGTAAAGGGAAAATAATAGTTTAAAACAAACCTCCTGATAAAAGAAGCCAAAAGTAGTTTTCCAGATTTGAAGCTCCCATCCTCCACCCCCACATAAAGCATGCTGTGTGGAAACTGGGTTCTTTGATTTCACAGAACTGGTGATTGCAGTGTAATTATGGCTTGGACAGTAAGGAAGCTGTAATGGCCCTTGGCTATTGACCTAGACTACTTTCATCCAAATATTTAATTATAAAAACAGTAGTTAACTTCATATGTTGGGCATAATTGCATGAATAATATATTGTTATTTCAGTAGCTTTTTTTTCTGAATAAGCATATTCAGAAGCCTCTGGAGAGCAGCAGATTGCTGAATATTACTGTGTTCCCCGTCTTCTTTCTGCCTTGGTAGTTTAGTTGTCATGATCCTAAAACGTGTGAAATGATTAGATTTTTGAATTTTAAGGAAGGATGATTAAGAAAGATTAAATTGGGGGAGTTTTAAACAGCAGAATAAAAGGAAAGATTAAAGATTGAGTTCTGTTATGCTAAGTAGCATGGTGGCGAACATAACCTTTTATGTTGTTTCTGGTGGTTTATTTGACTTCCTTCATTATTTATTTAGAGTGGTAGAATTTATTCATAAAATTGAGGATCCATTTCCCTCTTCATATTGCAAAGCAGACATATTCTTGGTATTTTACTTTAGCTTTGTGTGTTTGACCAATACTGTGAATTTCCAAAGGTTATGTTGCATGATAGCAGTTTTGAACATGGGCACTGACATTTAGCATGCTAGCGACAGTGCAATTTGTTGTGCCTGTTGCAGCCAGCTGTTTCTTATGTGTACATGTCTAATTATTTAAGTTTTAGTATTCACAACATATGATATTTCAGATATTCAGTGAACGGGTTCTTGCATTCAGTGCATTCTTTAATTGCATTGTTGATGTTGCTCCCTTATTAAAATAAGGCAGACATTACTTGTTTAAAATTCCATGTTAACACAAGAGCCTCTGATTTTAAGTTTTGGTAAACTTAAAATGACAAAATGGGTCTCATTTCTACCCCAATACAAATAACACAAAAGCCTCTGATTTTCAGGGTAGGGCAGAAATGAGGACCATTAGGGTAGAAATGAGAACGATTCCATATTTTTAGACAAGCTTTCTGTCTAAAAAATATAAATGTTTGTCTAAAGGTTTTTTCCTCCCTTTTTTACAAGAAGATATTGCAGTATATCTCTCGAGAGAAGCATACTCAGTCAGCATCTTTTGATTTCTTTCCTTTCATTTAAAGCCAGAATTGAATTGATGTGAGTGTGATATGATCTTTACTTTTCCTAGACTGGCTTAGCTCGATTCGTTCCCTTTAAAAGTAAGTTTGTTTCCAGGTTTAAGTCTATAAATTCTCTCATATTGAACAGTACTTAGAAGTGTTAAACTCGGTAAATCTAACTGTACTTCTTATAACATCATAGATACTGCAATTTTACTCTGTAGTCTGAGCAGTAGAACATTTTAAATGTGACCAGCTCGAAGGTACATTTCTTCATAGTAGACTGCATTTATACTCGCCATCTGCTTATTTTGGTTTTGCTATGGCTTCTTTATGGATTTTAAATGATGGGATTTAAAGCTGTTGTGGCACCACTGTGCTGGCACTCACTGCTAAGATGCTATGCTACCCAGGCTGGGACCACATAGGAAGCCCAGGTTCAATTCTTGGTCCACCCTCACAGCCAAGCATAGTGCTTTGTGCCTATAGTTTCAGCAACTCAGGAAGCTGAGGCAGGAATCTTGTGAGCTCAGGCTGACCTGGGTAATGTGGCAATTCTACCTTTAAAAATAAAAATTGCTAGACATGGTGGTGCTACTGTGGTCCTAGCTGGGAGACTGAAGCAGGAGGATCATGACATCCAGATTCTATTTTAAGAAAAAAGTAAGTTAAATAAATTATAAAACTAAAATGGTTCAATAAGATAGTCCACCAAACACCCCAAAGAACAGCT